TATGTATGTATGCATATATACATACGTATGTACGTACATACATACCTATATATATATATATATATATATATATGTACACAGGAGAACGATAATAGGAAAGAGACTGTAACGCAACAACGTCCGTCCATGCGTTCCACCAGCGTTTAACGTATGCAGGTCGCACGAAGTGAAAGAGGAAGGAAAAGGGAGAGGAGTTGGATCGAGAAGAGAAGGAAAGAGAACGAAAGGGAAGAGAAGGGAAGCAGGCAAATTGCTAAAAGATATATCCCCTTTGGGATTCGAGGCAGGATAGGTTATAACCCAGAGACTGGACTTGTAAGAGCTTTACGTAGAATACATTGGCCTTCTACACGTTACGAGGGAGAAGCTTGGTGGTTGCTCGTCTGTCCTTTTCTCTCTCTCGTACCTTTCGTTTTCCTTCGCGAGTACACGTTGGATAACACAGATAGAGGAGGAGGAGGAAGAGAGGAAGGGGATAATGATGAGGAGGATGAAGGGAAGAAGAGAAAGAAGAGAAATAGAAGAAGAAGAAGAAGAAGAAGAAGAAGCTTCAGGTAAAGTGAGAGAGGAAGAGAGAGGGAGGGGGGAGGGGGGGGAGAGAGAGAGGATATCGTCTAGGAGCCGCAGGGAATTGTTCAATTTTAGTTGAAGCTCCATAGTGGAGCTCTTCTCTTACGAGAAAGGTGCTGTATGTCCCAAAGTTATATGTAGTTAGAAAGACCCAACTTCGTAATCGTCTAAACGCTTAATTAGAACCATTGATGACTTTAGAATAACGTGACTTACTTCGTTCCAAATGCCAAATCGTCCGTATAATTCATATGCGCGGGATCGCAACCCCGCGCGTTTAATGTAATCGGGAATTATTATTCGGTCTCATTAATAATCACTATGTATAACTTTTTAACAAATTATAAATGGATAGACGGATAGATAGATAGATAGACAGAGAAAGGAAGAGAGAGAGAGAGAGAGAGAGAGAGAGAGAGAGAGAGAGAGAGAGAGAGAGTGATCTAATATTTTATATTAGTTATATTAGAATCAATTGATTTAATAGAAATTACATTTATTCTTTATTAATCTTCAACGATATAAATAATAACATGATTATTAAAGGATGATTTAATCGACAAAGCCATTGATACTGACTTAAAAATGGGAGAGAAAAGTAAAAGAAAGAAAGACATCTAATTATTATAGAAACAATTTAATCAGTAATATCTATGACTTATGTTGAATCTTTTGATACCAACTTATTATCGCAATATCACAAGATTGATCACATAATTATTTTCTATAGAAAATAATATGACCTGACAAAAGAGAATTCTTATAATCTCAAGACATTCTGTACGGACTTAATTGCAGCACCCAAAAAAAAAAAAAAAAAAAAAAAAAAAGCAGGAAGAAAAAAAATGAAGTAAAAAAATCACCAAAATTTACTAAAAATAATTTAACTATGTAAACTTGCTCAATTATATTTGCAATATATATATATTGCAAATACACATACATATACACAATTGCAATCTCTTGTATAAACACACACATATACAGGAAGTAAATACTCCCAAAGTATATATATCACAAAACGAGAAGGAACAGAATCTCTAATATTCGGATCTGAAGGATTCTGAATATTTTAAAATACACACATTCTTTCTCTCTCTCTTTCTCTTTCTGTCCGTCTGTCTATCCCTCAAAGTACATTTCTCGAATAACGTTATGGTGTTTCAGACGGAAAGGAAGTAAGAAACAGATAAGAATGAAAGGTTGTAGGAAGTAGTAAACAAGGAAACCAACATATGTTGTTGCTCCTGGTCCTGCTGTTGCTACTACTGCAATTGCAACTGTTACTGCTAGTTCTACTGCTACTGCTACTTCTTCTTCTTCCTCTACTCGAAACACACCTGCAGATCGTTCATCACGTCGGTAATGCATCTTGCCTCTCTCGATTTCTATCCATTTCTTTTTCAACGATAAGAAGGAAAGAGAGATGCCAGGAGGTATATACCGGGAGACCTTTTCCAACCAGTAACATTACCACCAAAGACCAATACCAATGGCGAACACCATCATCACCACTACAAATAACACCATCATCCCATGTAGAAGAAGGAAGAAGGAAAAAAAAAAAGGAAGAAGGGGAAGAGGAAGAGGAGTACAGGAGGTAGAGAGGAGAGGAGGAATGGAAGATCTGGAAATAGCTATGCAGGGTTGCCGGTAATGCTCGGCATCAATAACCTATCATATCTAACTCCTTGAATAGTAGTGTTAGTGAACCGATCTCCAACAACCTTCGAGAGCCCATCTTCGAGTCTGCACTTTGCTTACCTTCGTGTATCTCCACACACCCTCTGTCCTCCCTCTTTCCACCCTTTCGCTTATCTCTCTCTCTCTCTCTCTCTCTCTCTCTCTCTCTCTCTCTCTCTCGCGCGCGCGAGCGCGCTTGCCCGTTCACACATCTCAAGAGAACCCTCTAATTCTCCGAAAGCTTCCACCAAAGCTCTCCGATATTCTCTTCGTTATGGATACCGGAAGGAATTTCAAGATGGTAACGTAGTAAATCTACGTGAATTTTCAATGTAAACGTTTCACTATACGTACACACTGAAATGAAATGAAATAAAAAATAAAAGAACGAGAATGAGAGAGAAAGAGAGAGAGAGAGAGAGAGAGAGAGAGAGAGAGAGAGAGAAAGGGGTGGGGAATGAGGAAGTCGAACGGTGGAGGCTAAGGGGCTGAGGTAGGGGGAGGGATGGCAGGCAGGAGAGCACTAGCAGGAGTAGAATTAGAAGATAAAAAAAAAAAAAAAAAAAAAATGTACGAACGACGACGAGGCTCGTAACTTTTCCACAATCGCATTTCACAAATTCTTTTACGCAACAAGAGCGTCTGGTTATGACGTAGAATTTTCGATATACGCCAACGATTGATACACGTAACACCAAACATATATTGTTTTCGAAAAGAGACAGAAAAAGGGAGAGGGGATAGAGAGAAAGAGAAACAGAGATAAACATAGAGAAAGAGAGAGAGGGAAGGAGAGAGGGAAGGAGAGAGTGAGGGACAAAGAGATACAGAGATATTGAGAGAAATAGAAAGAGAGAGTTTACGAATAGCGGACGAACGCCGAAATTGCATCAGCCAATTTTCCACTTACACGCTACGAGTCCTACGGTTCAATCGAAATTGAGAGTGAGTAGTAGAGATCGACGTCCAACACACGTTTCATTGTATTTCGTGTTGGTTGTCATCCTTCACGCGTATGCTCTCTCTCTCTCTCTCTCTCTCTCTCTCTCTCTCTCTCTCTCTCTCTCTCTCTCTCTCTCTCTCTCTCTGTCCTATCCTATACACTCTGCGACGAATATGCAATTTTCGTTGGATTCTCTGTTTCGAAAGGGTGGGACGGAGGATGAGGACGAAGGGTGTGGGAGGACAAGGGAGTTCTATGATTTCTACTACTTGCTCGCTCGCTCATTCTCAATCTCATTCTCTCTCACTCACTCTCTCTCTCTCTCTCTTTGCCTATTCCCTCTCCCTCCCCATTATATCTCATCCATCGTTGAGCTTTTTTTTTAACTCGTAAATATTGGCAAATAATATCGGGTTACTTTGATTGTTCCAAGATCTATCGTTTTTACTATGTTTTAATAAATTTTATTAGTTTTACGCATTGAATATCATATTTGGCAATAAGGGAAAGTGTTTACGATGGGTTGGGGTGGGGGAGGGGGGGCGAGAGGGTTATCGATATTTAAATTTTATTTTATTTTCGATCTTTCAAAAATTATCTTGATCTATTCTTGTTTTGTTTTTCCTTTTATATAACTTTAGATTAAACAAAATGTAAAAGTAATAAAAAAAAAAGTATATATATTTTTAATAAATAAATAAATAAATAAATAAATAATTAAATATATGTATGTATGTATGTGTATGTAAAGCAAAGAAAAAATAAAAAAGCAAAAGTATACTCTTTCTAATAGAAATAAATTTCTAATGTGAAAATAATAACAATGAATTGTCTTTTATATTTTATATATAGAGGAAAAAATGATTAAAGAAAAAAAAGGGAGAGAGAAAAAAAAAGAAAAAGAAAAAAAAAAGAAAAATAAATAAAACGATATTACAGGGTTATTTTAATTTTCGCAGAACATTCGTTTTCGTACGTCAATATAAATTAATGTTGTCAACGCGTGTTAATTATATTTCACGAAGATCATTCTTATTATAAAATAAATATCTACGCATTTATATATATATATATATATTAATTCTTAAAAGCGATATTATCAAATATCAATCTCAATTAATTTAATTACTTACGTGTCCGTAATATCGATTACACTTTTACGATAAATTTATCAGAATCGAGATCGTTTATATAAATGCTATAAAAAAATTATTATCATCGATCGTCGCTTGTTTTAATATTATTAAAACAAAATTTCGCGCGAACGTCAAAATATACGTCAGAATAAATATTTTTACGATATTAACGTTATATTCGGTCGTTTACATTTTTATATAATATTATTAAATCCAATTTGAATTGGATGGGATGAATAGTGAGGGGTGGAGGGAAAGAGAGAGAGAGAAAAAGAGAGGATGGCTGAAATTTCTAAGAATAAATATTCACGAAATTATTATTATTATTATTATTATTATTATTATTATTATTATTATTATTATTATTATTATTATTATTATTATTATACGAAGTCCCTATGCATTGTTAAATAATAATAATAATATTAAAAATATCAAATTAGCCCTGTAGCGTTGAAAATTCTCTTGAAATAAATATTATCGAAATTATTATTGCCGACCTTTACAAAAAATTTTTTTTTTTTTCTTTTACAAAAATTCGAACAAAAAATTTTCATAAGATAAACTCTCTCATACGAACGCTTAGAAAATTAGTATTACAAAAAAAAAAGAAAAAAAGAAAAAAAAAAAAGAAAAAAAATAGAAAAATAGATAAAAATTTCACTTACGTTTCTCGTTTTTAAGACCATCTCTCGACTAACAGGATCGACCTCGCTTTTCTCGCTGGCATAACAGATCTTCGCATGACCGATCAACTATAACAAAAGAGATGAAAAAATAAAAATATATGTTAATATCCCTTTAATTAAATTGTATATATATAAAAAAAAAAAGAAAAAAGAAAAAGAAAAAAAAAAGAAGAAAAAGAAAAAAAGAAAAATATCAATAGCATCTATTAATTAGAAATGAAATAAAATATCTTAATCATTACGAATAAATCGTAAACGATTCTCCGACGATATTTATATTAATTCTTCATTAATATAAATAATCAGGCAATTATTAAAAGACCTTAATTGGAACGGTGTTAAGTGCTCTTAAATTATGGTCCTCTTTCGCCATTAATTATACATATTCCAATTACGTTCTGGCTAAACAACTTCCAACTACCATTTAATACCCATCCCTTCCTCAAAAACCCACTCACCCACCCACCCATCAACCCCTTCCAAACTGTCAATACTATTACTACTACTGTCTATCAACAGTGCCATTAAAAATAAGGCTATATTAATTTCTGATAAAACTATGAATAAAAATATTACTACTACTACTATTAATTCATTCATTCATTCATTCATTCATTCATTCATTCATTCATTCATTCATTCATTCATTGTTTAAGTCATATATATATACATATGACTTCATTCAAAAATTAATTTATTATAGATATTTCTATTTTTTACATGTTTATCCATTATTATTATTATTATTATTATTATTATTATTATTATTATTATTATTATTATTATTATTATTATTTTTATATGCAAACAAATCCTCTCAAAGCTAATTTTTTATCCTTCCAATTTTACTATTCTTGTTCATTTACTAATTACTCCAAAATTAAACAGAGAGGGAAAAAAAAGGGAAAATAGAGTGATGAATTCAAAAAGAAAGGAAGAAAAAATAATAATAAAAAGAGAGAGAGAGAGAGAGAGAGAGAGAGAGAGAGAGAGAGAGAGAGAGAGAGAGAGAGAGAGTCGTAGAGATCAAAACGTGCCTTTGCACTTTTCCTTCTTTTAAGTAAATTTTTCCTCTTTACCTCATCCTCACTCCTCTTTTTTCTATCTAACCTCCTACATATTCCTTTTAAACATCCTGATAGGCGTGCATACAGATACAGAGAGATACATACACGCACATGCATAAAAAGAGGATTCGTAGTTCGAGTATGAAGAGAACAGAGGATTTTACTCTCACTCTCAATCTCACTCTCACTCTCACTCACTCACTCCCTCTCTCTCTCTCTCTCTTTCTCTTTCTTTCTTTTTCGTTACGATGCGAAACGAGCTTTTGCGAAATAGCCGAGCTTATAGAAAATCCTTCCGAAAGGAAGCGATTCGCTCGCTCAAAAAGGGATTCGACGTTGAAATCCCTGGTCGAGTCGCTCCAGCGATTGCCACGGTGAGAACCAAGACTGACGAATAGGAAGGAAGGAAGGAAGGGAAGAAGGGAAGGGAAGAAGGGAAGAAGGATGGGAGGGAGGGAGGTAGGGAAGAAGGAAAGAAGGATAGGAAAAAGGAAGAACAGAAAGGAAGGAAAAAGAAGAGAAAAAAAAGGAAAGAAGGAAGGAAAAAAAGGTAAGAAGTGAGGAAGATAGAAAGAGAGAGAAAGAGAGAAGAAAAGGAAGAAAGAAAGAAAGAAAGAAAGAAAGAAAGAAAGAAAGAGAAAGAACCTGGAGTGTACACTTAAGGAATGAATACGTGATATACGTGTATCTCTATCTTTGTGGGAGTATATGTAAGAAAGATAGAAAAAAAAAAGAGAGAAAGAGAAAGAGTGAGAGAGAGAGAGAGAGAGAGAGAGATTCATGTATTTCCAAAGGACTACCTTCTGCTTTCCAAAACTAACTGGACGATTGCCAAATGGCATAACATTGAGCTTACTCATTATGAAAGTTGATACCATTGTTATTGTTGTTTTGCAATTCTCTTGATATTCGACCATCTCTATCTATCTCTTTATCTCTATCTATCTCAGCAATATCTTCTCCTTTCACCTTTCTCTCCTCCTATTACTATTACTACTACTACTACTACTAGTACTACTATTACTATTACTACTATACATTCCTCTCCCCTTTTCTCCTCTTCTCTTCTCTCCGCTACTATTATATTTACTATACAAGAAGGGTAAACGTGGCACGTCTTCTTGCTCGACTTCCTCGAAAGTTTCGAATTTCCGGTACTGACTGATGCTCAAGAGCGTTCGTTCATAGAGCGCTGATTGCTCGCTCGGACGATAAAACAGGTTCTTGTGCTTCTCTTGTTCCTCTTCTCTCTCTTTCTCTCTCTCTCTCTCTATCGTTGGCCCGCCAACCAACCCCAGTCAACAACCCCCTTAAACTATTACCCCGTCCTCCTCGACCTATCGTTCGCTCGCTCGTTTAAGCCGAACTTTCCAAAACGTTATCGATCCCTCCCACTGTTTTTCTTTTTTATATTTTCTTTTATTTTCTTTTATTTTACTTTATTTTATTTTATTTTTTATTCTATTCTATTCTATTCTTCTTTCCTTTTTTTGTTTGTTTTTTTCTCTTCTACTTTTCTTTTTTTTTTCTTTCTTTCTTTTTTCTTTTTTTTATTTTTGTTGTTTTTGTTCTTATTTTTGTTTTTGTTTTTCTATTACTCTGGCACATTTCACTTTATCATCGATAGTAGTGGCTCGACGTATTTGAATGTTATTGAATTCGATGGGATACGATATGATTGAATATTTTGTTCGTTTCGTAGTGGTACAGGTGGGTGGGAGATAGGGAGGGATGAGCGGATGGTTGGGTAAAGGTTCAGGGACAAACGTCCAGTAGAGAGGAGAGAGGGGAAATCGAAATCTTTTTAATCGAATTTTTTTTAATTATGAATATGTAACGAACAGTTGTTTCTATGAATACATTTAAACGAAATTGTTTTTATTTTTATATTTAACTTTTTCATATATATATATATATATTTTTTTTTAATAAAATGTGAATAAAAGATGAAGAATTTCCTTTTCTTTTTCCATCTCTTTCTTTTTTCTCCTTTTCTCTCTCTCTCTCTCCCTCTTTTTTTTTTTTGTTTTTTTTTTTTTTTTGTTTAGAGATAAGTTTTTTGATTAATGAACTTTGATTAGAGATAAGCATTTGACAGCATACAATCGTATTATATAAGTTAACGTAATACTATTTTTGCTTTCGTCATTCACTGACGACAAATTGGATGATAATCACGTGTAAAATATATGACACGTATTTAATATTAACAAAAGTATACGATAAAAATTTTTTAATACAAAGAAAAGGATTTAAAATGTTTTTCATCAAATTGTTCCTTTATCGATAGACATATATCATACGTCGATAATTTATTATTTTACGTTATCGGCTTAAACCAAAAGTCGATCTAGTTTGGATGAAGTTACTAAAAAAAGGACGTTCGATGGTGATTTTCGTGAATACCGCGAGAGGGCGACCTTGAACAAATCGATGATTCAAAACTATAATCAATTCGTTTATTGGTATAAAAAAAAAAAAAAAGAGTGAGAGATAAAAAAAAATCATCATTTAAAAATTAATTGCTATAGTAATATGACCTTGTATAAATCCGATTACTCATGATATACAATATTTCAATGAATTAAAAATGTTCTTTGAAATGATATACATAATTTTTCTTTCTTTCATAACAAAGACAATATATATATATATATATATATATAAAAAATCATTTATTGATTTATATAACAAAGGACAATATATAAAATCATTTAATCATTTAATGATATCGAAATTTCAAATTAAATCAATTCAAATAGATTTTTATCCTTTAATTCGTATAAAATTCTTTCAGAATAATTTTATAAGATTTTATAATTATATATAGTATGCAAAATATTTCAAAAAAAAATCACTATGTTATTTCAAATTCATTATCAATTTATTTCATCATGTTATTTAGCATTATGAAATATTTCTAATAAAATATCTTTCATCAACAGACACAATTTCTATTCTATTCTTAACAATTTCTATAATATACTTGTTACATATTAATAGGGAAAAAAAAAAAAAAAAAAAAAAAAAAAGAAAAGAAAAGAAAAATCTGATAAGAGACAAGCAATGATGTGTTTAAGAAAAAAAGAAAGGAACAAAAAACAATTGAGAAGATATCAGAATGAAATATAAATTATAAACGTTATCTTATACGTGATAGAAAATTTTGATTACAGATGAAATAGGTTAGGTCGTATAACGCGTAATAAACGATGTTCATAAACGATGACCACAATACGTACCATTCATTTACGTCATATTTTGGCGTGGTTAACATAATACGAATAAAAATATACATTTTCAATGTAATATATATTAACAAACTATAGTCATGGTTATAGTGATATTTTAACGTACATTATTTCGTCGTTTACTTGTAACGAAGGATAACAGTTTCAGAGAGAAAAAAGAAAATAAAAGTACATTCAAAATGGTCAAAAGATATTAATAAAAATAATGTTATATATACTTACTGCCTGAGCCCATTTGGGAAATCCAAAACGAGTCGAGACAAGTCTGTGCGTATGTAAGATTCCATCGATAACTTTTCTATCGATGACATCTGTTCCAATAACGGAAGAATTTATTGGATTAGGATATTTTCTCCAGGCTGCCTGTGTCACGGTCTCCCATGAGTGACTAAAAAGATAATAATCATTGATTTATTTATATTGAAAAGAGGAAAAAAAAAGGAAAGAAAAGGAAGAAAAGAATGAGAAGAAAATTCTTATTGCACCCAACTTGATTCGTACTCGTCGTAAATGATAGCGAAAGAAGAGAAAGGGTAGAAAGGGGAAAAAAAGAAAAAAAAAAAAAAAAAAAGAAAATGGCAACTATCGAATAACATTGAAATGAAATTAAACAAAAAAAACAAAAATAGACTTACTTAAATGTATGTTCTGTTCTCCAAATCCTCATACTGTTTATTAATGTTGATATGGAACAACGACGAATAACTGTAATTTTAATGTTAATTGTTAGAATGATGCATAAATGAGAAAACAATTACGGAGGACGACACTGAATCACGAAACGACACCACCGATATTCTACTTCAAGGCCCCCAAGCTGAAATCTGCCGCAATATAAGTTCTCGAGTACAGCAGATGGCGCTGCTATAAAGTGTCGGTATAATACCACAATTATTTTCTTTCGTTTGTAAAAAATGAATATTGATTTATTTCCTTAATGCTTCCATCTTTTTCCCTTTTTTTTCTTTTTATTTACATTCATATTTTTCTAATGTATAGCATTAGAAAAAAAAAATACGTACAGACCACACACACACACACCATATAAATATATATGATGCATTATATATTGACATTATATCGACGCGACATCTATCTTTTTAAACACAACAGTTACATTTGTAGACAATCTTCTAAAGATTTGATCCGAGTGACGAAAAGTTCTATGAAAATTTGTAATAACTTTCATAACATTGGAATTGTGTTTGTTGATAATAGAACCTGTTGTATTTATAAAAGTAAACAAATACAAAATGAATATTACTAAAATGTTATTAATAAGGAACTTTAATAATTTTACAGTACGTATTAATATTGTTACTTATCATTCAAAAAAAAAAATATCTCTTTTGTTTTGTTTTTAATTAAATTACTTTATATTATATACTTTTATAACAGAAACGAACTATTTTGAATCGTGAAAGTGGCCTTCGTAGTACTTTATATGCGGCAGAATGTGTCAGGCATGCATCTGCTGTTACACCATTGAATACTATTATAATGTTTGTGCCGCAACAAGAGGTTTGAATAATATCAGTCTATATCTAATTAGATAATTTATTAAAATTGATGCATTTATTATATAATAATATTATTTCAGGCATGGATCGTAGAAAGAATGGGAAAATTTCATAAAGTATTAGAACCCGGCTTTAACTTACTTTTTCCAATAATAGATCGAGTTAAATACGTACAAAGTTTGAAAGAAATTTGCATACAGGTACCTAACCAAAGTGCAATTACATTCGGTACGTTTTTCTATAATAATTGTCTTAAATGATTTGTAATAAAAAAAAACTTAATATACGATTAATGATTTTCATTATTTTATTTAATTCTTATAGATAATGTAACACTCGATATCGATGGGGTATTATATTTAAAAATAAATGATCCTTATTTGGCTTCTTATGGCGTTGAGGATGCTGAATTTGCCATAATGCAATTAGCACAAACTACAATGAGATCAGAATTGGGAAAAATATCTTTGGATAAAGTATTTAGAGAAAGAGAAGGTCTTAATGTTTCTATTGTAGAAAGTATTAATAAAGCCAGCGAAGCATGGGGTATATTGTGTCTTCGTTATGAAATACGTAAGTTAAAATAATATTTATATATATACTTCAATTATTTTATATCCAATTATTATTATTATTATTATTATTATTAATTATTATAGTTGATATAAAGTTACCAAATAGAGTGCAAGAAGCTATGCAAATGCAAGTAGAAGCTGAACGCAAAAAACGAGCTGCTATCTTGGAATCCGAAGGTGCAAGAGAAGCTGAAGTAAATATAGCAGAAGGCAAACGGCTGGCTAGGATTTTAAGTTCCGGTAATATACTAAAAAATTTTACATAGTACTTGTTATCATTATTTACAATATTATTAATATGTATATATGTATATATATATATATATATATATATATATATATATATATATATTATGTAATTAAAGAGGCTGCAAGACAAGAACAAATAAATAAAGCAACTGGTGAAGCTACCGCATTAATATCTGTAGCAGAAGCACGTGCAAAGGGTTTACAATTGGTAGCCAATTCGCTTTCTCTTAAAGATGCAAAAAATGCAGCTGCTTTAACTATTGCTGAACAGTATGTAAATGCATTTAATAAATTAGCAAAAGTTAATAATACTATAATATTGCCAAGTAATGTGGGAGATGCTACATCAATGATAACACAGGTTAGTTATTTTTTATTTTCCCTGATAAACAATCAATTATTATAAGATAAAAATTCAATTATTTATTATTATATTTCAGGCATTATCTATTTACAAGCATGTTATGCCTCAATCTGAATTAAAAGATCAAAAAGAAACAGATAATCAATTCCAAGAAGCTGTTCCAGTTGGTATTGATTCCACAGATGATACCTATGAATATTTTAGTGATAAAGAAGAAGCGGAACAGCATAGAAGAAATAAAAAAAAACCGAAAGCATTGTAATATATAAATCTTGAGAATATTAAAAATAAATATTGAATATTTCTCTCTATAATCTTCTTTTGCTAATTTGATAATGTAATATATATATACATATATATATATAAAAGAGGATAAGATGATCTTTTTAATTGGTGTAAGATTAAAGGAATTCTTTGATCTTTAATTATAAACATACAAAACGTAATAAAAGATTAAAACATTATTTTATGTATTGACAATACAAGAGAACAGTATGATGCAATAAATAGTATGTTCATATCGTTTACTTTCTTTTTTTTGAATGCAATGACATTGTTGGTACAGGTACGGCATAAGTTTCTTGAGATATTCGATTCATATAATAGAGCGCTACCATAGAAAATAAAAAACAGGTTGTAGTAGCCACACGATGAACCAATCCCGATGCAATCAAGCTAATAATTAACGAGAAGATAACTATAACATAAAATAATACATTTTTTCTTTTTTTTTTGTTGTTGCTTTTTTTTTTTTTACAATATAACCTGAAAGTTGAAAAATTTCAAATTGTTAATTGAAAAAGGATATAACTACTAACCTTCTGGAAATAATTTTTGTTGAAATGATTTTCCAAATACAGTTGTCTCCAGATTTCCTAATGCTGTTAATACAAATAAAAATAGTAACGATCCAATATAACCTCCAAGGATAGTATGCAATTGCGATGATGTCAACCATGCTCTGTACATTTGCATTCCAGAGAATAAAAGTACGGTTAAAATGGAAGACAATAAAAATGATATACCACTGGTAACAGCTAGAACAATAAATCAATTCTTATTAATATCTAATTTATTCGTATGACAAAAAAGAAAAAAGAAAAAAAACAAAAAGAAATATCTTTTAGAGGTTAGGATACACGTCAACGAAAAATAACCTATCTCTTAACTCGTATAATACATGAGAATACAATTTCTTCTTTATAAATTAAAATAATAGAATAATAATAGAATTTTATTAATAAACACGTACACATTTTGGATATATGTTATTTTATATATATCAAAAATTATGATATGTTAGGCTTTGACATACGGCAATCGATCCAATGACACGTTGCTTCGACTACGAAGATAGTTAGTCAATGATTCCCAATGTAATCTACGAAATAGTTCGTCAACGATTAGCGAAGTATCGATAAAAGAGAGAAAAAGAAAAAAAAAAGACTTTTTAATTGTTAATATTATTAATCGAAATTACAATTAAACAAATTCGTTTCGTTGTTAATTCGTTCGGTGTATATAAATTCGATTGTTATAAAATTATATCTTTCATAATTATAATTTATTGATAAAATATTATAATATTGTGAATTATATGCTGAAATAAATGTTAAAGAAAGTCGATAAAATTAACCAACAAAATGCGTAACGTAATTAAGAGATCTACGATGTTTACTCGTTATTATCCAAAGGTAAATTAACTTTTATTTACTATATGTAATATTAATTGAGATATTAGACTTTTGTTATTATTTATATTACGGAACAATGACGACTTTGATATTCTTAGATTAATGAATTATTTCCATAAAATTACTACTGTTATATATATATATATAAATTTTGGAAAAGAAATGGAATAAAAGTAGAAAGGTAAAATATATAAATGATAAAATAATAATATAAATTTGTTTCTCCATTAATGAAATAATTAATATGATAAAAATATTGGATAAAAATTATAGACAATTTTTCACATATAGGACAACCTTTATTACTTATAATGCCTTTTGCTAGTCACAATATAATACTACGAATTATTACAATATATTATTAATATTATAATAGTTTATAATAGGTCATAATATATATATATATATATAATATATATATATGTATATATATATATATTTGTAATATTAATATACTTATCTATATATATATATATATAGATTATATATAGAATATATATATATTATCTATATATATATATACATATATATATCTTGTATTACATAATACACGATTTTTCTTATTATTTAGCCCTTAGCATATACATATAATGTATGTATATAGATATATATTTATATATATCATCAGGATGGTATAAATAATATTGTATTTCATAAAAGCACTTCTTGTTGCTTATAATATTATCGTTTCCATATTGTTTCTCTATCTCTGCTTTTTTCTTCCTATTTTTTTCTTCTTTTTGTTTTTTTTTTTTTTGTTATTTTTTTTCTTCTTATTTATTTATTTCTTTATTATTATTTTTTTTCTCTCTTTCTTTTTTTTTTTTTTTTTTAAATGCCGCTCACTTTCTCCTCTCCTCGCATCTTATCTCATTTTATTTTTCTTCTTGTTCTCATTCATTCAATTCTTTTGTCCTCTTTTGTTCTTTTGCACATAATCAATAAAAATTTGTTTTATTTTTATTTATTTATTTATTTATTTATTTATTTATTTTTTTTTTGTTTCCCCTCCATTTTTTACCGTCTACCGACACAATACGCGCTTATACGTACTATCATTCAGGTTGTGTGGTTTTTTTTTGCTTTTTTTTTAGCTTTCTTTCCTCTAATTTTTAATTTTCGTAATTCGCTACCAAACGCAGACAGATCCTACACGATTTATCAGTTCGATCATTTTTAATATGTTCATAACGCGTTTCGTTATTTATTTGTTTATCTATTTACTTTTTGTTTACCTTTTTCTCTCCTCATTTGTTTCC